GTAAGTACGTGTAATTATTTAATAGGTTAAATAACATGGTTTTTGATGTTAAAAATATGGAGGTTTGAGGCATAGCATTAATTTATTACGAGCTGAAAATTAGGCAGTTAAGGTATGGATTAATTACCCCAAGAAGTGGTCCTTTATTCTGAAAATAGTAGGTAAATAGATTATCGGGCAGTTTACATGAACTTTATAGTGTGGCTAGAGTTAATTTAGTATTAGTGGCTCAGATGGTGGGAACCCAGAGGTTGTAAATAAGTGATAATGGCAAATTTTGAGCGAGGTGCTACCTCAGAATAGTTTAAAACGTTCAATGTAAAATTGAGCGGCTCCCATCAGAAAGAATGGTTTAAAAGACAGGTGTAATTAGCAACTGGTAAGGATAGGGGTGATTTATTAATTGAATTATATTGGGCGCAGGTGTTAACTTTTCCTTTTTCAGGTAATAGTTGAATGACTGACAGGACACCTGGGACGTGTCAAGCAGGACGAGGTCCCAACATGAGGTAGACGGGTTAACTTTATAATTTATTCCATAAATAATGTTAGGTACGCTAGGAAAGTACACCACGTACCTTCAGTCTTCTTTCTTAAGTCTGGTACCCCTGGAGGGGGGGGGGGGGTAAGGTTCGGGCACATGTTGTAAGGTGAGTGTTAATTTTGGAGGTAATAATGTGACGTTGATCCGGCCGATAGTAGTAATGGTAAGAGCACTTGATCATTGTAGTGTGGAAACGTGTGTAGGGGGGGATGCTAGAGGTGCATCATAGATATGTTTGGGAAGCGAGGCAGTTTGAACGAGTGTCAGTGAATGTGTAAAATGAATACACTGTTAGGTCTGATGTTTAAAGGTGTAATAAGTGGTTAGTTATTAGGTTGGAAAAGGTGGTGGAATAGAATGTGGGAAGTTGAAAGAGTTTTGCTAAATTTTTGCTTTAACTGCAACTCCAAGTTGGACTGGTTACTTTAAGATGTGAAATGGAAGTATAGTATGGTAAATATAGATAAATAATGATTAAATTTAGCACGTTAACCTAGAAATAAGTACGTAATTGAAGTAGCGTGGATGAATGAGAAATAGATGTAAAGGTTAAATGGTTGGAGCTGTACGTGGAAAATCAGAAGGCATAATGTAGTGTATATAATGTAAATAGTTTTTGTATGGTTTAAGAATCGTAGGAGAGTTTATAGTTAAAAAAAGTTTATGGTAAATGACATCTAATGAAGAGGAGTGTAGTTTCACCGGAAAAGTGACGGGAATTACAAGGATGTTAATTAATATAAATAATGGGGAGTATAAATGATAATGGTACGTGAGTGTAGAAACTGTTTTATCGATATAACACTAATTAAGAGATGATGGTTAAGTATACATGTAATTGTGAGATACTGGCATGTTGCAGAGAACATTGAGTTGAATGACATGACGTACAGAAGTAATGGCGTTCATTTGAATAATAAAATGAATCGTGTCGAACGACAGGCTGCGTAGGCATTGAGAGGGAATGTATAGACCGCGAAAGGCTGGTACTGATAGAATGTTAACCATTAAACATTTTCAACCGTAGGTGACATTATTGATAATTAATATAAAAAAGTTGGGCAATAACGGAGGTGTACCGGGTGGAAGGGAGTGCTGTATATTGAAATACAAATAAAAAGAATTGTCGAGTGATGTTTGGTACATATACGTGGATAGCTTTGACGTATGACAGGTCTAGAGAAACGTTTGACAAGGTGTGGGGTTTGTGTGCTGATTGAGGGATGATTTCAACTAGCTTAGGGGGGGGGGCGGCTTGAAGTCTAGAGGTGCTACAAACATTAACCATTAGAGAAAAATGGCAGTAAGTAAAATTTTAATAATATATTTAACGTTAAATAAGCATGACGTTATTAATGTTTTTAGCCGTTGGTGCTATTAATACATGTATCGTGAAAAAAAATAATAAAGTAAGGGATCTAAAGGTTTCCGGTGGACTTTATTGCAAATTACCCAACCATTTGACCAGAGATGTGAGCGTCTAGGCAGTATGGTGTTGATTGTGGGTGGCAGAGGATGGTGAGGGGTGTGTAGGCGGCGTGTTTGAGGTCAACCCGTTCTCGCAAATTTAATAAGTCAATATTGACTTATTAAATATGTGCATAGGTGACATACTTAACATAATAGATACCCTTAAAAAGATTCATAGAAAACACCGACCTTACCTAACCTTGTTAGTATCTTAAGATAAGCATCTTATAGCTTCGTAATTACAATTATTACCTAACCTATAATTGGTATAGGTTAAGTAATAATTGTAATTACGAAGCAATAAGATGCTTATCTTAAGATACTAATAAGGTTAGGTAAGGTCGGTGTTTTCTATGAATCTTTTTAAGGGTATCTATTATGTTTAGTATATCACCTATGCACGTAGTTAATAAGTCAATATTGACTTTACGAATTTGCGAGAACGGGTTGTTGAGGTAGATGTGTTATTGGTGGGTGGAGAAAGGCATTGTATGTAGCGAGCGAGATAGTGGTGTCTGCCTTAAGGGTGAGTATAGAGCGTGCTACTTGGACATTTAGTTGTATGTAAATATTGCCAAATAAGTGTATCTGCGAGTATTGTAGATAATTAAAAGGAAGATTCTGTGGTTGGTTGTTGGTCATGGGGAAATGTAAGTGCTTAAGTTTTGGCTGATGTTGAGGTAATTTTCCATGGCCTGTTTGGTAATGGTTGTGTATGAAGAAGTATGGTGTTTGATTTGTATGGTTAATGGAGAAAGATTTGTGTACTGCATGGCAGAAGGAGAGATGTTTTGTTGTCCGTGCAACATTAACGTGGAATGTGTGATCGGGACCCCAGTTACTAGTTGTAGGCATTAGTGGGACAGTTTGTTAGGTAGCAAGAGTTGTATCGTAGATGAAATGATGCTGAGGAAATGATGCTGAGGGCGAGCACTAAACCCCGATTATTGAAGTCGGCGTTAAGGTTTGCAGTTGTATGTCTAGCATGGTTTAGTGTGGGCGGGGATTTGTCATGGGTAGGGTTTGATTTGGTTATGTTATGAAAGTGTTTGCACTTGTCAGAGGTGCAAGACATGTTTTGTAGTTTTGCTCATAAAAAGTGTTAGAAATTGGTAGAAATGAATGTAATTTAGTTAGGGATATTAAAATATACAAAAAGAGAATGAATTGGTAGGCTATAATAAAGAACCAGTTTTGAGTGTTCATAAATGCATGGATTGTTGTAGCCCTTAACATGAAATGTCAATGTTAAGTTGGATGGATATTTATTTAATGGAGGACAGCGTGTAGAGATGTGGGTTTACGGACGGAAGAGATTGTTTATTTGTTGAGGAAGCAGACTTGCTCCTCAACAGGGCCACGCTGTAGAGTACGAATGGAAGTGGGTGACATGGACGGGAATGTTTATGTAAGAATCAAGTATGTGGTGGTGAATAGAAAAATTTAAGATAAGAGACATTGTAAATGAAGTCGATAATATTGTATGATATAAGCATCATTTGATTATTTGTAATAAAGTGTAAATTGAGCATCATGAGATGCTTGAATAGGAAATGTAAGTGGTTTCACTAAAGTTAATGTATGATAGGTGTTTGTTGAGATCGAAGTAAGGTCCAGCCTAGTGGCTTCAACGGGGATATGAAGGCGGCGGTTTATTAGATAATACTTTTTGGTCGTTGTTCATTTATAGAATTAAAATGAAGATGTTTATTGTTGCGTGTGGATGTTTTGAAGATGGAAGTAATATGTACTGAAAGGGTTGTGGTTTGTATATGATGGTTATTGATGTGTTATATGTGTGATTTTCTTGTAGGTTTGTACCATGTTTATCTGTTATAAATGGTGTTAAGTTATTTATAATATGTGGTAGTTTGGTGTATGTATGTCAAATTGGCAAGAAGGATACGATGTCAGGACGAGAGTTAGCCAGCGTTGTTTCATAATTGACTATTGGCATGTAAGGGGAGGCTAAGGAAATATCTGTTTAGTCCAGTATTTTCTCCCCCCCCCCCCCATCCCCCTCACACTCGGCTAAACTGAAGTTCCTCCCAGAGTGCCTACTGCAGGCTCTGTAAATGAACACGTTGTGACGTACGTATTTGATTGCCTTGTGTTCCTGATACCTAGGTATTGTAACCAGATCAGCTACCCGCGACTCACGGGAACTATAGAGGAATTAATTTTCAGGAAGGAATCGGAGAAAGGACAGGAAAGAGATGACTAATGAATTATGGAGGGTTTGTGGTGAGGGGGGGACTAGGGTGGTTAGGCGAGAGGGAGATGGTACGGAGATGAATAGGAATTAGAGGTATAATGGTAGATAGGTAAAAGTTGATAGTAGAAGGTACACTGGGACCATGCATTGAAGAGCATTATATAGAAGACAAGGAATGGAAGTTGTCGGTATCGAAAACATTTGTAATCTGCACCCCCCTCACTGTCTGGCCTGTTGCCGCCGTGAGAAGGCTTGGTGGGCAGCTGCCAGAGTGTGATGCTCCATGGGTCAGTTCTGTCCTTTTCCAGCCTTATGCTCCTGCCTTTACCAATTTTTAAATAGTATAAGGGGACCCTATAATCCTATGTTTATTCAGGTAAGGTACATACATACAAGTGATGTTACATTAATGGATCAATATATAGATAGAGCTAGTACATACAATGCCTAAAGCCACTATTACGCAATGCGTTTCGGGCAGGAAGAACATTAATATCTAGAACTTAATACTAATTGAGCATAAAGAATAAAATGTGTTGAGAACAAATACAAATAAAGATAAAAAAAAAGGGGGAACATGACTGAAAAGCAGCACAAATACAATAGGTTGACAAACAGTGTTCATTAAAAAAAAATAACAGACATGGGTTGACAATAGAGGGGTAAGGTAGGTTACAGGGAATTTATTAGGTAGTGTTTAGTTTTTATCTTAAACTGGTTGAGAGAGGTACAGTCTTTAACATGGTTGGGAAGGTCATTCCACATTCTGGG